CTAGAACAAATATGCCTCAGATTTATGACAGTTTCAGGCAAAACTTGTTTAAATAGCTTTATCCTGCAGTATACCAGAAACAGTATAACCTTGTATACTAGTAAAGTTTGATGCTCCTGATAGCCCAATGCTAGAAAGCACATTATGGAAACACAACTACCGCTATGGAAAGGGTCTTGCTATTGAAGTCTGAGAAAAAACATTTCGGGTGTATCAATTAACCCCAGCTACCAAGGCTCAGTGAAACAAAGGAGGCTGTATTTACAGAGATGAAATCAAATCACATCATAACTCTACAGCGGGGCAAAATAAAGCAGCACAGTAAATCACATAATGAAAAACACAGAAAAGGACCTATGGCCTACAGGTCCCATGTATTTAAAACACGTAAGCCATGAATAAGTCAAAAAATTCATCCATTATTTGCTAGAATTTTAAAGTTTTTTTAGATTGAGTTCCACCTAAAATAATAGGCTACAGAAGTTGTATATTCTACAGGTACTGACCCTAAATCATCCTGAAAAATGCTGGTTGAGGTTAGCCCCACAAATGAAAGATTTGACGTAGGTGGATCCTGCTGCTGGCCAGTTATGACACTCACTTCTCCTCCAGCTACAACCTAGGAATAGAGTTCATAAACCAGTAAAATGAGAATGCTGACACTGAAATACTTCATTGTAGCAGCTGGCAAAATAGTATTCAAAAAATATTCCAAATGTCACTGAAGATTTTTTACCTGCAACTCAATAGTGCCTGAAGCATTTTTTAACAGACTAACAGCTTGGGAGTGAGTCATGCCCTCAGTAGATGCTCCACAGATGCTAACAATCCTGTCCCCAACCTGGAGAAGAAAACATAGAAAATCTAACTAACGGTAAGTTTAGTTAAGCAGATTTATTCGGCACTTCCTTTCAACAATGGCAGATTTGTGTACTGGCATTTAGCCAGATTTTATCAGTGATATAGGGCAGGAAGAAAGAAACTAGTAACTGTTCATGGACATTATCTTTTGAAGGCAAATCATCTTTGAACTACATAAACACCAAATATTAAGGTAGAAAATTCAACATCACAATTAGCAAATTACACTGGTTTAGTGTATTCAGTGCAAAAAAAGCAATGATGCTTTACAGAATTGATCCTAACATTCTAGAAATATACAACATGTAAAAGAGAGATGCATTTTGCACATCACCTGAAGACAGGCATACTGAAGTAGTAAATTATCATCAGACATTATATGTCTGAAATCATCCTGAAATAACAACTGTTCATTTTTCAAGAAGCGCAAGTCAAATTCAACCACCTCTGGTACAGATTGGATACAGTATGTAAGTGCTGTATCAGACAAGATCTCCCACTTTAACTCAGAACCTAAAAAGTACTGTCTCTATCCTAAGACAGGCAAGCATAGAAAACATGAGAGACACAACAGACTGCATACATACAGTTGCAGGAATGACCACCACACCCATCAGTGAAGCTCACTTACAGAATCCATCATTCTGAACCACTCTTTCTACTTTTAGTTTTCACAAGCTGACCACCTTTATGATCCCAGATTGCTTTAGGACTTCCTTCCCTGAGTTAGTATCTTCCAGCAATTACCTTTTACCATGCTACCAATCTGAGTTACTATTTTGCCAATTCAAACAGCAGAAATTCTTGTCACAAGCAGAAGCACTTATGACTGCATCATTAAACTGCTAATTTATTGCCTGCCTAGGGTAATTACTGTGCATTACCCATGCGATCTTTACAACCTTCTTAACAATAACTTACTCTGAGTTTCTGAGTCTGAGCTGCAACTCCATTCGGATGCATCATGGCAATAAATATAGGAACATCTCCAAGAGGACTTCCTACACCTCCAGCAATGCTCACTCCTAGTGAATCTGCAGGGCCCTGTTATAGTCATGAAAAGAGATTAGATTCTTCTGGAAAGGAAAAACACAAACAGAGAATTGGAGGCTTATCTCAAAAAATTACTAAAGCCCTTGTCTTACGAAAATCAGAATTCCTATGTCTCAAGCCATTTTTTAAGCTAATACAGTTTGCAGCATTTCAAGAAAGCACAGAGAACACAATATACGTTTCTTCTATCAGCGGTAGGAAATTTGCAGACTTAGTTGTATGTTCTATCTTAACCAAACTAAATACTTACAGAATTAATGTCAGCATAGAAAGTCTGGGCAAAGAAAACTGGATAGATGGGATTGCCTGTCCTTAATATTCTCTGCACCAGTCTCCTGCTATTAATCTCCCAAAGACAAGAATTAATCTTTATGCTCCCCCTAGTGTCCTACTGCTGAAGAACAAAACTAGCTGCTTGATACTGTACAACACCCTACTACCTAACTGCAAGAACTGCTATTGTAAACTGATATTTGAAGTTTCTACTGTAAAAAGAGTATGGCTAAATACAATCCATGTCACCAGGTGAACTAGACGCCAGGCAAAGTCAAATAAAATTAAGTATTTTGGACTCTCAGAAGCAATCTGTGACTCAGATCTCATGCTCCTGTAAATAAGTTGACTGAATTTCACAGCTGAAAACCTGGCAGCTGTTATGTAAGAGCCTGCCCATTAAAAATATGTGTGAAGAAAAATATGACGTACCAAACAATGGGCTTGCAACTTTGGTACAGCTCCCCTGACTTCACTAAAACTGGATTTAACTCAGTTTGATAATAGTCAAATTAGGTCCCATTATCTCTTACTAATCCTTCCTCCTTTTGCTTTCAAAAAAAGTTTACAAAACGTGATAGCATAAACTGTACTGATTTTACATTAAAATATAGGCAGTGGAGATCATACAGTCTTGACCTGAAAAGACAGGCAAATGAATTATCTACTGACACATCAATTCCTCTCAAAATAACTCACAGGGCCAGACTTCTTAATTTCTGTAAACACAGCTATTGACAACACTACAAGACCTGCTCCTGATATATATCACTTCATTCTGTAACTTACCTTTTTTATTTCAACTGTTCTTAGTCCCTGTATTTCAGAAGTTGCTGATAAATGAATTTTAAAAAAGAAAAGTTAAACTGAGTATCTTTAGGAAACTTTTCCATTAAAGTTATCCAAACCACTACGATGATTCTAACTTTCTGTTGGTTTATTATAGGCATACATTTCAAGCAGATTCGGAGAGTAGCTGTCATTAAATGAATAGGATTGAAGTACTTCTAGAATGGGTGAAAAAGTCATTCATTCTCTCCATTTAAATAACTTTTGGAATAAGACTGCTAAGTATGCTCAAATAGAATAGAAAAAATATTATTTGCTAGCAATACTTTAGTCAGAAGTAACTTTGTTCTGAATTTCAGCACATGACAGCTACTCCACAACTATTCTAACTTAACTATACAGTATCTGGATTTCCATGAATGAGACAGCTTGACTGAAGAAGTATTTAGATTAAATAGAGAATTATGGCTCAACTTAGATTCTCAATATCTGAACTGCTGGTCTAACAAGCTGCTAGTTTCTTTTCTAAAAAGTTATTCAAAGATATATATAATGTACCGTACAATAACCACCCCTGCAGTGTATTAATATCTAAGGAATCACTTTCAGGCCTACTGCACATAATGACAACATTTTAGAGAAAGATCTCAGCTACCAGTTCACATGTATAAAATACTAAAAGCACCAAAGAAACCTTACTTGTACTCTTCTTTAGGCCACTTTCAAAGACTTCAGGTGCACTGGACCCAGAAACTGGGAAACTGAACGATGAGAGACTGCCACTTCCTTCACTGACCTAAATACAGCATTAGACTGGAATCAGAGAGCAGCTTCAGATACCCAACTGATAAAACTGTAACCCACTATGTTCAGCGGATTTTGCTGTATTGTACTTTTTCTGTGCTCAGTTAAAGCTGACACAGTGCACCTCCATGTATTTCTTGGTCACTCTAGAGGGCTCCTTGTTCAAAACATCATTAGATCAACAGAGATCTCATGCCTACAAGCCCATGCAACACTCTGAAGTGCTGCTTCTGAGGGCCAGACTGTGCCTTCTATCACTTCACAGAGATCTTCTGGTGCTAAAGTTAGCCATGATTATCAAGGTAGGGCCAGAATACAAAAGACAGATCTTTACACTTCTCATGTGTACTCTCATGTTCACCCACCGTGTCAGCTAAACTAAGATTAGGCTCTTCACTCAGCTTCACCTGCATGGTTTCCAGAAAGATTTTCACTATACCCGCAGGGCAATGTAAAGGAACAACACAGCTCCCAGTGAGACTAGTTCACTGACTGTTACAGACTCTTCAAAACATTCAACATTGTGAGCTTCTTCTTACTTAATTTAGATTAAGACAGCCCAGAGGCTGTATATTTCCATCTTGTTTGGCATTACCCATTTTGAAGAGAGCCTAATGTTTCAGTCTTATCCACTCCTAACCCACTCACTTGAAACTGTTTAATTATGATTAGTCTTTAAACTATTTTTCTTCAGTACTTGATGATCTGCATACCTAGTTTATAACCACTTTGTAATAAAAGTTCTAAGGTAACTTCTCAGCTCTCAGAAATATAGCTCCTACTGGAGAGAATAATAATCTGAACCGCTACCACATGCAGGATGCATTCAAGTGCAGAAACTGATGCAAGTTTGTAACACTCCACCATTAGGCCAACAATAAAATAAACAAACTTGACAGAAGCCTGATGGAAAGGGCGCAGGTTTCCTGCTTCTGAGGACCAAGATTATGGTAAGAATATGCAAGGAGTGGAGAAATTCACGAAGTTTACTAAAACAATACTCCATTGCGTGCCAAGAACTCCTAAAGTAACAAAGAGGTTTCAAATCCACTCCCAGCTTCTCATATTGATGAGAATGAGAGCACTCTCTGCTTCCCAGACTGGAGCCATAAAAGCCAGACTCAGGTAACACGTCAAAGCCATTTATGGATTACATTTTTGGCTGGATCATGTCTTTAACAGATACAATATGCTAAAGTGAACACACAAAATGGTTACCAAAAATCTGCAAAGTAGATAAAAACTACTTTTCTTCATCTTGGATCAGGTATGTGGAAAATCATTGTCATCATAAAACTAATCCTTTTTATTTGCTTTCATTATTTAACCATTACTTCTTCCAAACAAAACACTTTTATAGTTACAAACCTGGCTGCTCTGGGATGTTCTCCTCTCGGAGTGGAATGGACCAGCTTTTATTCTTCCAACCTCTAGTCTTACCGTACCTAATGAACACTAAAGAACCAGTCACTTATAACACATCTCTTCTGTCTACAATATTAAAACCTATGACAAATATTTAAGTCGCTTATTGATGAACAAAAGAGAAAAAAAGAAAAAATATGTGCAGAGAGGAAACAATGGGCTAACAACTCTGCATTGAGCACTGAGCAGACAAAGCACACTGCAGGATCAGCGCCATACAAAATGAGTACACCATGATATTCAATACTGAGCAGTACTTTTTGGATTAACCAGTATTACAATACAGATGCGAAAATTACACAAGTCTAATTCACTGAGTAGTTTTGGCTCCCCAACTGTAATGTCAACATACATTTTCAAGATGGTATTTTTCAAGGAATAGTGAAATTGACTATTTTCACAATAAGCACTACAAATAGTGTAACACCTTAAAGTATTAATAATTATTTCTGTTGATATGACTGAGAACATGGTATTTAAACTGGTAGTTAAGTCATCTCTCTCCTGCTCTTCAAATTACTCTGGATCCGTAACATAGCTAAAAAATTTTGGGCAGGAGGTTTTCCAAACATGTATCTGCAGTTTAAGTGACCTTTCTGCATCTAACTCCCAAAAGGAAGCTCGGTGATACAGGCAGTTTGGAGATTAGAAAATCCTTCCACTACTCTTTAAATTTTTAACTATACTATTAGGTATTTACATGTCTGCATAAAATGCACATCTCTGAAGAAAATTTACCCTGCAATCAAATATTTAGAAACCAAGACAGTAGGCTGATTTTGAAAACAGACAGGTAAGTTATTATCACAAAAAACATTTAGAAAACTGGACTTCCAAAATAATACAAGTAGTGATGAAAGACAACCATATATCTGCAACATATTCAAATACAGAAATTCTGAAGTTTTGTTGTTATTTTGCTTGTCCTGCTTTCTTCCACTGGGAAGTTGTTAGTATGAACTCCTGTATCCAAAGAACTTAGTATTACTTAACAATGCCTTATTTATCATGCTTTAGCTGTATTATGATAAAAGAGGTTCATGTATTTGTCAGAAAATTTACAGTAAAAAATAGACCAATACATCAAAGCCAACAACAGGACATATCCATCCAAGTAGGGTTTCCATACCTCATATCCTGTTGCTATTCTCTTAGGGATGACACTAAAAGAGATTTATTACTAAATTGCTTTTTATTTTTTAAATAATGTTGACTTCTCTGTGTCTTGCTAAAGACTTGATCAAAGCTCAAGCAAAACATCTTTCCTGGTTGTATGAATTGACTCATATTAAACCACACAGATGGACAACTCATCTACAATGGAAAATTGAGGAATTATGTACCTAAAATTACCACATCCTCACATAAAATGCAAACCCACAAATAAGATTTAAAAGTTATAACACGTGAAAGTGGAAGGTAATACTTTCCAACTGAACTTGTGAATTCACATTCAGTTTTATTACAGTTTTCTCTTCCTGAAATCTCCCATTTGACAAATCTGTGAGTCAAATGAGGGGAAAAAATGCTCAGCTTTTCACAGGTTTTAGGGATACTTAAAAAGAAACACTTCCAAGAAAAGGCAGAATTCAGACGGACAACACATTCTAGTACTCATGCTATTTAATATACTGGGATATTCCAAAGATTATAAATAATTTTCTAGGAAAATACACTTCAGGCAGTTCAAGACAATTCACTCCTAGATCTTAGTCTCGTGAATGAAAACAGAACTGACACCTGAACTAAAAATGGCGACTGCCTATGTACGAGTGATCACGCTTTACTCCATTTATACTGTGCGAACAAAACAGAATCATTAACAATCATAACATCAGTCGTTAATGGAAGTATTTTAAAAGCCTTATTTCTCAGGGCTGGGACAATTAATTACAGGTACTGTTGAGTGGGATGAAGTATTTAAAATGTGAATATACAAATGATAAGTAGGAAGTAAGAATCTTCAATCAGATACATCAAAATGCTTGCCAAAATGAAAGAAACTTTCCATATAAAATGGCATTTATTTTAGATGAGATATAAAAGTGCAAAATATGAAGAACAGTCCTCAGATAAAATAAAGTATAAGGTAAGAATGGAAAAGTACTATTACCCCAGAAGAGTATATTAATGAGTTCATTGTCAGAACAGACCCAGTTCTGGCATTCTCACTTACGGGCACATGCTGAAAACACAGAAAAAGTGTTCCTACCTCCCCTTTCTAAGCCTTAACCCCCGCTCCCTCCACCCCCT